CTGTCACTGAGTGATGTCCGCACAATGCACTCAGAGACTTGACCTGGGGGCTACGGGAATCGAACTCGAGGCTTCTGGCGCCCTGGGTACTGCTCTTATCCACTGAGCTACTCGCCTCTGCTCAATGACTGATGGGTCTGATCTCCTATTGCAGGTTAAAACGTTCTTTCCGAGTAAAAAATTCAGAAAGGGAGAAGCCGGGATTCGATCCGGCAACGTCGAGGTCGGTGATCGCTTGTTAGTTGGCTGCTAATCCCCCTGAGCCAAAAAGGAGCTCTGTCTCTGGGATTTAGCAGCCCGACCCATAACATCGAGGCCTCAAAAGTCAGGACTTAGTAAATAAAATGTGACTTATAGATGAGGATGTTTGGTCTGTGGGATACATATACGCTCCTACTCCGGGGAGTGAAAAGTGGGACTTACATTATTCTTTTCTTCTTCATTAGGTTCTGGCTCTGGGGCTAATAGTCACCTCATTGGACATTCATTGATTGGGACTCATGGTATTAGGAGGAGTGGGCTTAATGAGCAGCCTTAAATCTATGGTAGGCCATCATAGCTGATCCCAGAATTTGGGGGATGGGAGAGACTCATCGTTCTCATTAGACCATCATAGCTGATCCCAGAATTTGGGGGATGGGTGAGACTCATAGTTCTCATTAGACCATCATAGCTGAGCCCAGAATTTGGGGGATGGGTGAGACTCATCGTTCTCATTATAAATAGACCATCATAGCTGATCCCAGAATTTGGGGGATGGGAGAGACTCATAGTTCTCATTAGACCATTATAGCTGATCCCAGAATTTGGGGGATGGGAGAGACTCATCGTTCTCATACATGTATTTCTATGACTGATTCCCGGTGCTGGAGGTCATATGTTCCTCTTAGGTTCAGTAGAGTAGATGATGACTTCCAGTGGAGCTGGGTCCCTTCTTCTATGGGGCGATGGCGCGGGGCTCATAGTAGACGGGATGTAGAGCTCCAGTTAGGGGTAAGAAGGTTGGAAAGAGTTGATCAGTGTGAGATGTGGTTCAGGTGGTTGGTAAGAAGGGAGTGTTGGAGGTTCTGGTTCTGACCCCAGTTCCTCAGGATACGACTATGGGATGAAGGAAGGTTTTGTCGTCTTCACATTGGAGAAATCCCATTTGTCAAACACCGACTTCGCCCCAGACTCCGGAATAAAGAGACCTGCGAGCGTTAGATTCCAAACAAATTTTATCCACTGGGAATATTTTGCACTCTTGTGGAGAGAGACCTCCGGATACTATCTGTCTGTCACCTTTCCCCATCAAACTTTCAGAAACTAGGATGGGAACACGGGTGGAAGAGGATTTGGAGATTTGATACTCGGCTGCATCCCCCCAGTAATGATCAGACACCCAATCACATGATCAGGAAGCACACAACCCACTCCCCCTCTATCTCTCTTCTCCGAATGTCTGTGAGGAGGAAGAGATACGCATTTTCGTGGTGCGCTTCCTCCATCTTCTGCATGGAAAAGTAATCCTGTCAGGATTCACCACGTTTGGTTTGCTGTTTCAGCTGCTCGGGGGAATGATGAATACACAATAAATGATCCGATTATAGAACAATGAAGACTCAACCATCCGTCCGCCACGGATCCTTCCACGCCTCATTCATTTCCGTAGCACTGCTTCTGGGGAGAGTGTATTTTGGGGGTTCATTTGCTGCATTACCAGAATTTAACGAGGATCGATTTTAAAAATAGAAAACTTTTAATAAATGTTCCGTCTCTTCTTGTACCATGTGACCTCCTGACGCGCCACTTACACCACACGCTGTGCAGGATGCCACAGAGCTGCACGTGGAATGACATGAAAGAGGCGTTTATACTTCTATATATATATGATATACAATAACCCTCCGAGAAGGAGAGAAGATCTGACCCCGCGGATGAGGGCGATAAATATATATAAACGGTGATCACTCACCAGGCACGGATCCCGGACACTGTACACACCAAGATTACACCCCAACTACACGCTGCACTATGGGGGACCCCCGACAATGCACAATGGGAGGACCCCAGACAATGCACAATGGGAGGACCCCAGACAATGCACAATGGGAGGACCCCAGACAATGCACAATGGGAGGACCCCAGACAATGCACAATGGGAGGACCCCAGACAATGCACAATGGGAGGACCCCAGACAATGCACAATGGGAGGACCCCAGACAATGCCTAATGGTGACAACAGAATCAGCAACATGAGCGCTGGCCTTTGGGTTCCTAACATGTCATCATGATACACCCGGAAGGGGCCGCCATTTTCTGGGAGGTGGGTGACAGGAAGCGCCTCGCCATTGGCTGAGCAACATTCTCCTTCTATTGTATGACAAATCCACCTTTAAATGAAACCATTTCTGAGGGTAACACGAAGGTCGTCAATGCCGATCTCCTGGAAATGGCGGCCTGTAGGTTGGCCGTTTTATATTTGACCAACTGATGGTGGTGATTGGATGGGGTGCGCGGGATGAAATGATTGGG